TTTGATTCTTGCATACTGGAGCAACTTATCCTCTGGTTGCAGCAAGTGAAATCATTATTTTTGCTGAAAATGTTGAATGATGCTTTCAAATAAAGCGCACTCATTCCTCCTTCTTTATTTCTCTTTCTCCATCTCCATCCCCCCTTCCTCTCCTACCCTCTCTAAATTCCAAAGGAGACAGCCGAATATCCAGAGATGTCAGTCAGCTAACGGAAAGAAGCGAATCCATTTCCCTCAAGTATGTAGGGAGGTCTGTAAGCAGGGGAGAGGGGGAACGAATCAGTGACTTACCAGGTATCCGTGGCGTACTGTGAGCGGTATGCATTCATTACATTTCTCTCGTTTTCCACAAACTCCAGTTCACCCGGCCAGCAGGGATGACAAAAGGCTAGGCCCTCCTCAATTTGATCCAATCGCCACTTCTTGTATCTCTGCAGGAACAGAAGTTGTGCAGCGTGGTTTTAATTAAAAAGAGCTAGTGGATGCGAGAGAAGAGTGATTTCTAGTTTAAGGGTTCATCCTCTGTCCACCGGAATACATTTGTAGATTGGCTGATGTTTAACTGAAAACCTTGCCACAAAGTCAGTGGAATGCTCGTACACGAGGGTAGAAGTCTGCCGGCTTATAGAAGCGAAAAAGTGAGTTCCAGAACGCAGCAGCAAGAAGAAGTTGTGGGCAAATCAAGTATTTCGGGGAAACGGGAAGAGTAATTTGGATGCGGATGCCCGAGGGCGTAGCAGCAGCTTTTAGGAAGAGGATGGCTTCAGGTCCAAGTTCGCGACTCACTTGATGGGACCCAGTCATACATTTAAGACAGAGGAAGCCAATATTCTTACCAACTGAGACAACTTGTGTCAATGCATTTAAGAGCAGACTGGACATGTATCAAGCGCAAACGCAATGAAGGTAAAAACTCCTTCATCAGATTCCAATGAATAACTTACAAATGAATCACATTGTTTATCACCTACACTGCATCAATTTATACTACTCGCGATTTGATAGTAGTCATATATTTTTCTGTATTTTTCTGTCATATTTTTGTGAAGACTGTC